ATGATTCAATTGATTATGAGTGCATTGATAAGATGGACTTTTGGATAGAGGAAGAGATACCACCTCAGGATTTCGAGTATGAAGAATTAGATAATGCTATTTATGACGAAGATGCAATTCTCAATGTTAATGGTCATGAAAAAGATACGTATATTCAAGGTCATATTTATTATGTTAGAATTACTTCGGGTGGGTGCTTACTACGTTAACATATTATGTAATATGTAATTAATCTATTATATCAAAGCATATATAGTCTCCACTTTCAGTTAATATATTATTTTCTTATGTTTGTGGTTTTGATGAAAATGATAATAATGACAAGCTTGATGCTCAAGGGATTGCTGATTCAGATACATTGGATGTTATTCATCGTTTTGGTAGTTCAAGTGATCTTCGAAATGATCAAGGATTCAGTCTTATTGATGAGAACAATGAAGATGAAATTTAACTATTCGATCTTTTGATGTTTAGTGCACTTTTTGAACTCAACTATAACATGACATTTTCCTATTGAAGAACGACCTGATGTGGAACTTTTTAGTTTTAACCTTTAACTATTTAAGTTTTCAAGTTGACATGGTTAATTACATAAAATTATGAACTTATCTTACATTACGTAATTGGATTGAATAGGACGTTATTTTGTTGATTGTATTTAATTATTTTTATTAAATTTTTGCATGAATGCTTTTTATAGGAGTAGTTTTTAGGATTTTGAAAAACTTGCTTTCATTTGCTGATTTTTTGTAAAATTATTAATAAATAGAAAAACAGGTGGATCCTAGTTCGACCCTGATTCGACCTTATATATATATAATAAAGCATAGAGACTCTTACACGGACGAATTCACAAAAAGCAACTGATAGGAAGTCGTGTTTTTGCCAAACTTGAGACCTTATCTAGAAATTTCATTTCTAGCTAGAATAGGTAATATATGTAACTATAATGCCTGATTCTTTGGAGCTGTTAACACAATTGATTCCAAAATATTTCAGAAGTGGGAACAATGTTGAGAGGGAGAATTTAATTCTTTGGCATCAAGTTAGGTCTCCCAGCTTTCAAACATATATCTATAAACAATCAATCTAATCAAACTTGAAACTAGTTTTTCATATGCCCAACTTATTCCTTATTCAGACTAAAGATTTTACATCATTTAAACATATTCTAAAATTCTTTACTTATCATAAAAGTTCGAAATAAGGAGACTCAAATATTATGAGCACGTTTGAGCCCCATTTCATTGCAAAAATACATTTTGGAATGGTAGAATCATGGAGAATGCGTGGTTAAAAAATAAAGAAAAGTTTTGAATTTATACGTAATATTATTTTATTAAAGAATACATGATTGAAAAGAAAAGAGAAACGATATATTTTAAAAATAATGGGAATCAAACGAGGTTTATAAGAATTTTGGGTTTTTAAATATTTAAATTAGTAATTTATTACAAATAAATTAAAATGTATAATCGGATCCTCCAACACCACCAAAAAAAAAAAAAAAAAAAAAAAAAAAAAAAAAAAAAAAAAAAAAAAAAAGGAAAGAGGGGATTAAATAAGAATGTGAAGTGCCAAAAAGTTGGTGCTTGTTCCTCTTAGGACCCCCCAACCCCCCAAAAAAAAAAAAAAAAAAAACAATAAAAAAATAAAAAGAAGAAGAAGAAGAAGGAAAGAGGTGATTAAATAAGAATGTGAAGTGCCAAAAAGTTGGTGCTTGTTCCTCTTAACCATTCTCCCGAGTCGGATGTCCGACAAGAGGTGCTTAGTGAGCTACGTAGTGTGATCTTTAACACCATGAATAAAAATCCTCCTAGGAAGGGACCTTTTGTTTGATTCTTTGGCCCAAGTCTTTAAATTATTTTTATTTTTTTGCCTTTCAAACTATGTAAGTCACGAGTGAGTCGAAAATGACTAAAATATCCTTACTGGAGTTCTCAAAATTCCCCTTTTCGTGTAGAAAGAGGATTGGCCAAGTGGAGCATGCACCAGGAAATGGGCATCTAATCGGCCCCAATCATCTTGACATTGAGTCATGTCATGCAACGTATAACCATCAAATTTCTTCAGCCCTCATTTCTGTCACTACAAATTGATTGAAAATTTTAGGGCATAAAAGGAAATGCTCTAGCAATTATGGGAAAGATGATGTTGAATGGGAACGTGATATTAAATGAGGGTTTGTCGTCCTAGAAATGGAGTCTTTGGCAATATCTAGGTATTGTATGGCACTTAGCAATAAAAATTTGACAAATATCTATACTTTGAGCTAGCAACCATTTTCTGTACATGCAACAAATTTGTATTTTGAGATGAAACTCAATGTGATAGGAGAATCCAACAAACTCAACGAGGACAGTCAGAATTGATTTTAATCAAATCACTATCTTACAATCACGTCAATAATAAAGTCCTACAATATTGAGTGTAACCTCAACATCAATAATTACAAGATGATATAATTTTCACATGTAATTCTTTAGTATCATTCAATAATATCATACTTAGCGTACACGTTTATAGTGAACAACATAAATTTGATAGTTTCTCACGTTTTTTACTTGTGGCTATATCCTTTTCTAGAGGCTAAAAAATAAATAATTAAAGGGCTTTTCAATTGGGAGACAACCGTTTTATCGAGCCTAGCTAAATTTGAAAGGACTTGTCATACATTTTTGAATTTCGCCCATCAATTTATCTGTTTCCCTAACATTGATAGATGGCTTGTGTATCATCTAAACATGTACGTGACATACTACTATTGTTGAATTGCAAAGTCGAGGTGTAAAATTAAGTGTAGAGTACAATATTTGGCATAACATAAAATATAATCCCACCATACACCAGTGCAAGAAAAAAGAGTACTCAAACAATATACAAAGACGAGAAAAAGGAATATTGAATTTCTACTATATATTATGACTTTCGTTATTGAATATCTCGTGTAAAGTTTAAACCGTTAAAAAGCAGATTTTTATTTCTTTATATTAGTATCTTTTTGTTGTAAAATATTACATAATTGATATAATTATTTGATGTTATTTGGATAGTTAGAAAATAAGAGGAATGCTACATGTATACTAGAGTTATACACTCTAGTGTATAGTCCCCTCACACGAGAGGGGGCACACAAATTTTTTAATCAATGTGGGCCCCCTCTCATGTGAGAGGGGTGTACAGTGTACACTCTAGTGTACAAGAACTCAAGAAGCATTAATGAGAAAATAATCCTATTTACCCCTAAAGTTTGTATCTTGATTAGTTTGCAACTCTTGTTGGAACCCCATATATATGAGTCATTATTAGAATGAAATACACAAAATGTTGATTAGTTTTTTTATCTTTGATTTATAATACGTTATGAGTACGAGAATCTATTTTTAAATCAAATTGCATATTAAGCCCTTGTTTGAGCCCCATTTTTTTTTTTATCAAAATATATTTTTTAACAGTGATTTGACATAATTTCAACCACACATTTTTCAATAAATTAATATTACACACAAATCCAATTTTTTTCTTATTTTTGAACCACACATTCTCCAGCATAATATTATTTCAAAATACATTTTTTTGATAAAAATGGGCTCAAACAACCTCTAAATAAATCAACATCTCGCTTGATTTATTTTTTCCACAAGGAAAGGATGGTACCGGAGAATGATGGTGCTTCTATTGAATCCCAAAAGAAAATAACTTCCAATGTGAACCCTTTTGTGTGTGTGTGTGTGGGTGCGTGG